GATAGCCTTTAACGCCATCTATTATGTAAAAATTTACAAGTTGTTCATTGGTCTGATTCATGGATTCAATTTCTGAATCTCATGATTATTAAAACTCTGCAACGGGATAAACAATTGAACTTCATTGAAAAAAGGTAAAAAATTATTTAAATATTTCATCGTGATCGCTGGTTTCTTTAAGATTCTTGAACAAGTTGAACCATTTGTCCAAACAATGTAATTGTGATGTGATCACAAAATGTGATTTATCTTGTTATTAGGAAGTAATTTATCTAATTGTTAAGACTATCAGTGAAAAATTCAATATATTGATAGATAGAAAACAATTAAAGAAATTGATAATCCAAAGGTTTTCTATATTGTTTGTAAGCTAATGTGGATAGATGATAATTTACCAAGAATAAGCCCATTAATTCACAATAAGAATGATGATAATATTGACTATAATAACTGATTGCAAGTCAAATAACGGAAAATAAAATTTGTACCTCAAATTGTTGAGCAAATGAACAAATGATTTGATTATATATACATTAACATTGACTGCTTGAACTAATGAATTATGATTATGGCCTCATTATTCAAGGGTCCTATTAAAATTTTTGATAATACACATAATTTATTGATAGCTAATTAATATAATCTGCATAGCCAGTCTCACAAATAAGTATAATCTTGATTAGAACAATCAATGGATCATTAACCCTCGATGAAAAACAAAAACAATTAACTACGTTTAATAACAAAGATTAGACTTTACTTTCCAGTCCCTTTGTAGGAGATAGACTTATACCTTATTCAAGCGCCATTCAATTTAAACTGCAGGTTGTACTTGTTTTGTTAGCACTTGTTGCTAGGAAACACTAAAGCCTCAAGTATTTTTTGCCTTTTGCCTCACTTGATAATACGTTAGCCTAAATCCTGACCACAATCTTTAAAAGGAATGAATGCATAAAAAAATTGATAGATGGCACTGGTTCTCATTTAATCACATAAACACATTGTATTGATGTTGAACCTTTTTTTTAATAATCATTTAATTGCTTTAAATTATAATTGTGTTTAACCTTTAAATTATCGTTATAATGGACAAAAATTTTGCTTGTGATAAATGTGATCGAACCTTTGTCAATATATCAAATTTGAATCGACATAAAAAGTCAATTCATGATATTATCCCTGACACTGGTTTTCAATGTATAATTTGCGATTATTTTGTACGTGATAACCACACATATATTAATCACTTACATGATGAACATCAAATCAGCATTGAACAAAAATCAACTGTTTGCGAATCATTTGAAGGTAAGAATTTTTTAATATCCACTGATTATCCACTGCTCATGGATTTGTTTTTGCTCGATTCAGCGTTTCTCGAATGGAAAAGACAAATTGAGAATGAAGATTCATCAAGTTTCATAAGTTTAAGAGGCCCACGGAAGAATCTGAACATAGTGACTTATTATTATGTTTGCAGTCGCAGTGGGAAGTATGAGTCAAAAGCTCAGCAACGCCAAGGAAGAGTTCAAGGAAGTAAAAAAATTGGTGGTAGATGTTCAGCTTATGTGACTGCAAAGAAAAATAACGATACTGGAATCATCGAAGTGAATTATTCGATTACACATGTCGGTCATGGTCGTGATTTGAAATTCCTCAACTTACCTGAAAGAGATAGAGAAGAGATTGCAGCTGAGTTAGCTTCTCAAGTTCCAAAATCTGTTGTTTTAGGTAATGTGAGAGCTTCCCTTGAATCTCGATTACAAAGAAAACATTTGATAACTTCGAAAGATCTTCAAAATATTGAAGCATCTTACAATTTACTTGGACAAGTTAAAAGAGCTTCAAATGATCTTTTGAGTGTTGAGATGTGGATGGAGCAATTTAAAGACCTACCCGATAATCCAATCTTGATTTACGAGAAAGATGACAAGCCATTCATGCTTGGAATCATGAATGAAACTCAACAATTTATGTTTGAAAAATATGGTAAAAATATTTTGAGCATTGATTCTACACATGGGACTAACGCATATAAATTCCAATTAACAACTTTACTAACAGTTGATGATAACAAGTAAGAAAATAATATCCACTTAATATCCACTGGTACTAACCACAATCTTTTTTAGCAATGGCTTCCCTGTTGCTTTCTTATTTTCAGAAAGAATCGACACTGAAACGTTCAAATTGTTTTTTCAAAGAGTGCAAGAAGTAATCGGTACCATTCATGTAAGAACTTTCATGTCAGATGATTATCCAGCATACTATAATGCTTGGTGTTCGATCATGGATAGACCCGATAATCGATTGATTTGTGCATGGCATGTTTTGCATAGTTGGGAAAGAAATTTCAAGAAAATCACTGATAAAGAAAAAAGAGAAAATGTTAAGGAAAAGTTGACTTCTATAATGCGAATAACTGATATCAACGAGTTTGAAAATGAATTTTCGCGTTACATGGACTTTTTACAGACTGATGCTTCATCTAAGGCTTTTGGTGAATATTTACTGGAATTTTATGCTCCACGAAAAGAAATGTGGGCTTACTGTTACCGTGCAGGTTTAGGCATCAATACAAATATGCATTTAGAAAGTCTTCACAAGTAAGATGTTAATGATTTATTTAAATTTTCAGGTTTTGATTTATTTCACATTTACAATTTGCTATTTTATTGCTAGGAAACTCAAATATCAATTTTACAATGGTAGACAGATAAAACGTCTTGATATTGCAATTACTGGACTCATGAGTATGCTTCTCGACTATGAATTCAATCGATTGATCCGGATTGAAAAGGGGACAAGGAGTAACCATAGTTGGAAAAACAAGCAAAGGCATATATCGGCAATATCGTCTGATTTTCAATTTGCTCAAATGACTGCTTCATCCTGGTCAATTGTTATACCTGAACAAGGTGATTTGTACACAATTTGTTCAGTGTTAGATACAAACAAATGTTGTTCAAACAACTGCACAATTTGTGACATATGTTATCACAATTTCACTTGTACTTGTTCGGACTATTGTGTTTCGACTAATATCTGCAAACACATTCATTACATTGCAATGAAGATATCTTCTGAAAGAATAGATCATGGAGAGCTGAGTGTTGTTGCCAATGACGAACACAGAGATGAGGCTGATGCTATAATGAAGTCAATCGCAAGCAAAAGCTCAAAAGCAGGAGTCAATATAAACTTTAAAAAAAGAAGATTGATCGCAGCGTTTACAAACCTAGTGCAAAATGCTAAAGATGAAAAAGAATTGGATATCATTAATAGAGCGATCAAGCCAATCCAGCCATCTATTCTTGCTTATCGTAAAAAAACAAACCTTGCTTGTACTAAAATCACAAAAGGTAATCTTAAAAAAATCGAAAAACAAAGAAAGAAAAAAACTGCCCAAAAAAGAAAAAATGAATTACTTAAAGATAATCGACCTGTAACTGTGATTGAAAAATTGACTGAATAAATACGCTAATATATGATACGAAAATATGCATAAGCAGAGTTTAAAATTTATATCCACTTAATATCCACTGGTGTGAAAATACCTGCTAATTTCGATTTTCAAAGTGAGTAAACAATACAACAAATAATTATAATTAAAAACGTTTATTAAATTTTATAAATATGAATAAATTGAATAGAAAATCTGTAAAGAAAAGAAGAAAAATTAATATCCACTTAATATCCACTGGTCTAAAAATACTTACTTATTGGTTACTTGGACGCCCAGGATTATTGTGACGCCGGTCTCCAGGATCATATTCATCCATTGTAATCCTGCCAGGACATTGAATAGCAGGATTCTGCCTGCAGGAAGGTCCACAAGTGTGGTTGAGTGAGCCTGGAGCTCGGCAGCGCCTGATCTCATGATCAGTGCAGTAGCTGGCTCTAGAAAAAACTTGACCACACCATTGGCAGGCCTTTTCCGGGTTCTTCTTCCTCGGATTATTCTGTTAAAATAGATAAAAAATACAACATAAGATTACTAACGAATAACTTGAGAAAAACTGTTTTTTTGTATCTATTATAACTAACCTTTTTAGGTTTTACCGTCAAGTCGACCACATCTTTCCTTTTATGGTTAACATAACCTCTAAAAGGAAGATGTGGGCAGTCGACTGTATCAGCCCAAACATCAGTGTCCATCCATCGGACCCGCTTAACCAATCTCACTGAAAAATAATAAAGATTAAATTAACACATGACATATTTAATCGAATCAATTGAATTTTGTAGTGCTTTATTTAAGTTATTCTTACTTTTGCCAGTCTTATCTTTTTTGAGGTAGGAGCCTTTTATCTCCTTCACAGGATGGAAATAACCATCAGGGCCAAGGCAATGATTAATTTGGGCAGTTTGCCCATCATCATCCTCATCATCATCAGCTTCAGAGTCCTCTGGACCGGAATCAATGATTGCTGGTCCTGGACCTTCATCATCACTGGACTCTTCATCATCATCCCGCGGTGGGGTCATTCCTCCAGAGGAGTAGCTCAGCTGCAATGGATAAAGAAAGTAAATTGAATCAAAATAAAGATTAACAATTAAAGATAATCAAATGTTTAGTTAAAGCGACCAGTGGATATTCAGTGGATATTAAAGAATCAACTTTTTCATCATAATGCAATTAGATTATAATTAAATTAACTAAGCTTATCATTTTTATTGATTTCTAATCATGTTTAATGATTTTTAATCATTAAAAATGATTAACTTAGTTAATTTAATTATAATCTAATTGAATTATGATGAAAAAGTTGATTCTTTAATAAACACTGAATATCCGCTGGTAGCGCTACAAGCAAATAGCAAGCCAAAGAAAGAGAAAAAGAAAGAGAAAAGGGAAGAGCCTCATATCGAGCCAAAGTAAAACGATGAAAGAGCATCAAAAAGAAGAAGGCACGCAAAAAAACAAAGCTTACCATTACGGCCATTGTAAAAAACCCGTCAAACGGTACTAAATAACAATTTTTAATCAAAAAAACACAAGTAAATCAACTTTAAATCCTTTGTTTTTGTTTATTTCAAAGGATTCGAAAAGTCTATGGTAAATAGTATGTAAAATTTAGTGCCATCTATTTTTTGTTTTTTGAATTGAAGTTTTTTAAAGATTGTGGTCAGGATTTAGGCAAACGTCTTGATAATACATTGTTATGTTTTTGTTTTGGTTTGGTGTATTCACTTGATATTTCAAATCGTAGTAAAACTGAAAAATTTTACATCGTCATTTATTATCATATTGCAATCATTTTCTATTTTATTAATTTTGTCCATTTTGTTTGGATTTGAGTTTTTGGTTTTTCTTCCTGCTTCGCTTTTGTTTGAAAACAATGAACTGTGATCGTGAAGAAGATGAATATCATTACAAAATTTTGATGGTCCGCAGTAAATCTCCTATTTGGGTATCTCTAACTCTTGGTGATAATGCTGAAGTCCAGGAATTGAAAAGTCATGATTCTGACGATGATTCGCTCATAACACGAGCAGACCAAGAATCCTTTATTCAACCAGAAACTTATGTTGACCAGCCTCGTGCAAAAGCTATCTGGTCATCAATTCAAAATGCATCACAACTTCATCTAAATCGCTCAGCAAGCTCTACTAGCTCATTTTCTGTGATAAATGAAGACCAATTAAATGATTCTGCTAATAGTTTGGTCGCAGATGGTGAACCTCATTCCTTTGTACCTTCTCATTCTCCTTCTTCTCGTCGAGAAGTGGATGATGTCAATGAGGATGATTATGACGAAGAAAATAAATCATCTGCCAGCGGCATGGTCATGTTAAACATGCAAGCCTCACCAGTTGCAAATTGGACCAACTTGTCGATCTCGGTTGATCAAAAAACCAATGACTCTTATTATCCCAATGTTCTTTCTGATGCTCACTCTGATTCTTTGATATGTTTGGGAATGGAGTTCGCTTTACGGATAGTTGAGGTCCTTAAAGAACAAGAAAGATCCCCGGTTACTCCTCTTTCTCTGAGTCTCAGTTATCTTGAACGAATTCTCAACTGTGAAGCATTTTTGGAGCTTCCGTTGGAGCTGTTAAATAAGATATTGTCTTTGCAACGCAATGATTCATCAATCGAAGCCACTTTCGCAAAAAGTCTGGTTAAATGGGCTGAAAGATCAGAAGAACATCAAAAGCATTTAGCCTCTCTTTTGAGAAGAATCAATCTACAGTCTCTTAATACAGAGCAACTTATTGACCTGAGTAAAATGCGTTTAATTCGGAAAAGTCTCGAATGTCGAGATATTATTGATGTGTCAAAGAATGGTCTTCTCATGTCAATGTCCACAAGTCTTCAATCTCCTGAAACATACAACTATGTTTACATTCTAGCCCGAGGTTACCAAAAAACCTGGGAACACAGTATTCATCAGATCAATCTAGCAACGGGTATAAGTAAAAAAATACCTACAAAGCAAGCAATTTTGCTGGCAGTTCTCGCAGACAGCCTCTTAGTTTTTGGGCATCGAAATCCTAGAAACCGGTCTGTTGATGTTTATAATCTGGAGAGGAAAATGTGGACTTCCATGACTAACTGGCCCATTGATTTGGTTATATCGTCGATGTGTACCTTTGCAAATTGTATTTATTTCACAGCCTCTATCGGAGTATCTCACAACTTTTACAAATATGATCCATCTTCAGACGAGTTCCGAATGATTTTAGCACCATCAAGAATCACTATCAGGGAAAATGACAAAATATCAGTTTTCGATAAACAGATTTTATTCATTTCCAGTGGTGCGGCTTATGATCCTGTTTTGTTCAAATGGAATTTCTTTGTGCCATTTCCTTCATCCTTATCATCTCATCCACTTACTATTTTCAATGATAAACTAATCTATCTTGATGAACCAGAGCGGTTCTACTGGTTTGATCCTAAAAATGGTAAAAGAGGACTTCACTCGTCAAAATCAACCAATGATGGTGTAACACCAGGTAAAGTGATTGATTTGGTGGTAACCAATTCCAAACTATACATAATTCAGAAATGCTCCAATGGTGTTCAGATCATGAATTATGACGAAGAAACAAGCACATGGATCGATTGTTTCAAAGTTGATCTTCAAAATGAGCCATTGAGATGTGCCGTTTCAACTGACAATAACTAACGATATCTCAACCAATCACTTACTTATTTCTACCATTTCTAATTAAGACATTTATCTGATTATCCCTGAAATTTAATTTTTAACTATTCGGACTATTAATTTAATCCATCATAAAAAGCTAAAGTTAAAATTGTATTTGACTATTTTATTCTCTTAGAATAAAAATCGCAAAAAGACTGAAATGATATTTTCCATTTTCTTTATTCTTAAGCTTATATAATTATCTGAGATCAGATTGAGAAACAATTATGATAATCCACTTGAAATGTATTTCCTGATTCTAACTCACTTTGATTCTTATCTGAATAATTGTTTCTGTCTTTACTATTAATAGAGTTATTATGATTATTAAACCAGTGACAATTCAACCCCAAACTCAAAAAAAAATTGATGCAAAACAGGTAAAAATGATTGATTTGTAGTGATCTGATTTGAAAATAATACTCTGATATTGCTCAAATCATGAATTATTAATATGATGCAGAAACAATTGTTTCAAAGTTTATCTTTAAATTGAGCCATTCAGTCATTTATTGAAAACGGAGAGAATTGAAAAACGCGTTAATTAAAATAAGTAAGTTTTTGTTTATTGCCATAGATACATTCATCAGATACAACGTTCATTATGTACGTTAACAACGTATCTAACTAATTTAAAAAATTAGCTCATTCACATTTGCACAGAGGACACCTCATTAAAAAGCTAGAAAATGGACGAATCACAACTAATCAGATAGACCAAATCTTAGTAGTTATCTGCGATTTCCAGGTCCTAATCATCAAAATTGCAATATTTTCGAATGATTTTATCTCAATCAAATTATACCGGGAGTTCAATCAATCAAATCTAAAAAATTTAACATGATATGAATCTTAAGTAGCCTTTCGTTGCCAATCTTATCAATCAATACCGACTCCGACTAAAATCCCCATTGGTTGATAATAAGGCAACTGGTCAAAGAGAAATTGAATTTTAAATTTTTGCTCAATAGAAACACAGATATTTGAACTCACTAAAGACGGTTCAATAAGAGAAATATTCAGTTTTTTAAAATAACTATAAGTCTCCGATTGTTCATTGGTCTGATCCACGGACTCAATTTTTGAATTTATGATTATTAAAACACGGCAATGAGAAGAGTACAAACAATTGAGCTTTATTGGGAAAAAGGTAAAAATTTATCACAAAAATGCATCGTTGCTATTTGGTCTGTCTGAGATTCATGAATAAGTTGAACCATTTGTTCAAACAATGAGTTACAAAATGTGATTTATCTAATGATGAGAAGCAATTTACTCTGTATTTTGATGATCATTTATCCAATCCAAAAGTCTTTCTGAAGTATATAAAATCAGCCAATTGGCAATACATTCAACTACTGCCGTGTCATCCTTGATTCGTAAAAATTCATTGGCCAATTCAAAGGCGAAGACAAAAAGTGTTAAAATGTGACACCATTTAATTCCTTCAGCAAATAAGTGTTCAGCAATACCAGTAAAAACAGCGTACCCAGAGTCATCGAAACTCTCAGCAGGTAATCGATCTAGATTATGAGTCACCGAATCCAGTTTATCAATCAATTCGGAAAATCCCTCGGTGGACCTAAAGTCAGTGGTTAACTGATTGAGCACTTCAACAAATCTGTTGATTATTTGCTCCTCTGCTTGCGCGGGTCTATTAGTGTAAGGTGGCGTCCATTGGACATCTTTAAGAGCAAATTGTTGCCTGAAATAATTGAAGACAACAATTTCAATATCATTGTCAACCAACGCCATGAAATTAAAATAAAAATTGAACTGGAAAATGAAAAAAGACTTGGAAAAGAGATGAA